TTGTTCAGGCCTGTACAAACGGTGAGATTTGTAGATACTGTATAATACAAGTATTATATTTGTATTATAATACTTTCCTGTACACACGTTTATACGTTTTATTAGATTGTTAATAGACTAAAGGGATTTCTACGTGTTTCCCTCGCAATATTTCTCTCTCTCTCTCTCTCTCTCTCTCTCTCTCTCTCGTGGAAAACGAGGTTCTGTTAGCTGTACCTGTTATTGTATTATGCATTGCATTAAAACTGAAAAAAACAACAACATCGTAATGGAAACAGCGGCGGAACACTCGTATATGTACCGTACTTGGTGCACACAATGCATCGCTAGATGAGGTGCAAAGAGAAGACCCCAGTAGTTATAAAAACTTCTTTAGAATAGATAACGCTGCATTTGAGCAACTTTTACAATCACATGTAGTTACTCCTTTTGATCTTCTTCCCATAAAACAACGAGTTTTTCGATATTTTTACTGCTAAAGTCGACCATTATTTACCACGTGCTTTTTTGTTATGATAAAAATAGGATGACCACAATGTGAGTACTTTTAATTGGTTTAAAAATGAAAGGTAAGTTAAGACTTGTATTAAGAAATAGAGCATTGCCCTATTCTTAATACAGTTTTATAAGATTCGAAAAATCTTAGGATTCACCGTATTAAAAGTCTATACATAGTCAGATTTTGTACTTAAATACATATCCGTGTGTACAGCCCTGAAGTCCATTGATAGACACAATGAAAGCATATCGAACAGTGGAATGTCACGTGAGTAAAGTGATTATAATATCAAACAGGTCAAAATAGGTTGACACTCGGTGACCTGTTAATTTAGTAGGTAACCCAACCGTAGTTTGGAGAATTTTTTAAAAAATTACATATGAGCCGCAAATTGTCCAACATTGCCCTTTGGATATGTATAAGTTTAAATAAAAATACACATTCTGTGCAAATGAGAAGAATGGAAAAGTTGCGGCTCGATGTAAACAATGTCGTTGAAAACTGGTATGCATATGAATAACAATAGAAATGTTACAAAACTGCTAGACCCCTGTCGCAAAAACCAGTGTCGCTCGGATATATTTAATATTTTTATGTGATATAATATATCAAACCCTGCTCTTAAGATATTGTTTAATAATTCTGATTCAAAAAGTTTATAAATTTCGGAAATTTATTATTAGCAAAGCACCGGGATCCAACTCTCATAGCTTAAGTGCACTGATCCTTTACCGAATTGAATTTCTGTAACATATGTTTCTATTTAAAAAAAAAAGCAAAAAAAAAAAAAAAAAAAAAAAAAAGATATGTTCAGCAACGCAAAGTAATTTTCTTATGTATGCAATGTTTATCTACTTAAAAGAAATTGGAAAGAATTTATAGGCATTTCAAACAAATTATAAAATGGTGTATTACATGTTTCATACCATTTGTTAAGCCATAATGATGCTGTTCGTTGCTAAGCCATTAACGAACAGTATTTAAGCTCAAAATCCATTTAGACAGTACAAATCGGGAGCAGAGCAAACACGAACCTCCTAAGACATCAGAGGTGGGATCATGTGCCATGGAGGAGAGAGCATTCCCTGCCAACCGTTCACACCCGCCATGTGCTCCTTGTCATGATTGGGAAAATGGAAAAATCGGTAGACAATTCAGTGTGTAAAATGGCCTAACAATTAGTATGAAAAACTTCAGTCAGCATTTGACCTAATGATAGGTTGTATTTGCTGACAAAGTTATTGTATATACCATAAAACTTGCAAAATAATAACTTCAAACGAGACTGTTGATATTCTTGTTTCATCAATTTGTTTGCCCATAGCTTGCCTCGTTTTAGAAATTGTTCATACGTAGAGCATAATCTTGAGTATCAAATCAACTGGGAGACAAAAAACCAATATGCAGATGATAAGCGTATATTGCTACATAAGTAAGGAAAGTTGACGATTGAAAAATTCAAGTCATCACGTTTATTATAAAGCTTTGTTGTGAGGTTACCATTAAAGTCTTTTCTAGTAATATATCCAAATACGAAACAAATGTGTCAGACTCTGTAGGTTCTTTAAGTTCAAACTCACTGGGATATATCGAGTCGATATATGAATGGAAGTAACTATTAAATACGTCGTCGATGTATCTAAATGTCGAGTTGAAGGCCACGGCAAGTGTTTTCTTCTTTTCATGTAGAAGTTTTCGAATAAATTCTGCTTCATGTGAATACAAAAATAGGTCTGTTTATAAGGGGTGCAAGTGAACTCGTAGTATTCAGCTAAATCCATCTTACCCAAGAAGGTTTTATGCAATTGGCAAAAATTATACACCAGAAATTTTTTTGTTTGAAATACGTGCAGATAATGAACAGTTATCGAACTCGAACTCCTTCTAAGCTGGTGCTTAGAAGGAGTAAGCATCCTCTGTCAACCGGTCACACCCTCCATGAACCCTATGTACTGATCGGTTTGACGGAGTAATCCATAGTCAAATTAAGTATAAAAAGGCCTAACAATCGGTATGAGACATGTCAGTCAAAATACGACCCAATGATAGGTTGTAGTGGCTAACAAGGTCATTATAACGACTACAAAATGTTGACTTCAAACTAGGGTGTTGAAATTCCTGTAACATCAACTTATTTGTCAGTAGCCTGTCTCGGTTTGAGAATTGATCGTACTCAGAGCAAGCTTTTCAGAATAGAATAAGTTTGGAGACATATACACCATGTGCAGGTGATATTGGGATTATAAACTTCATAAATAGGGAAGCTGACGACGGAAAAGCTGAAGTCATCTCGTTTGTCATACGGTTTTGTTGTTAATTGTTATTAGTTAGTCCTTATCGTCTTAAGACAGTAAAACATCAAAATATAAAACAGACTCTGTGATGTCTTTTATTTCGAGTTCACTGGGATATATCGAGTCGAAATATGAATGGGAGTATCTATTGTTAATTGACAGGACTCACGTCGGATGTGACCAGTGGACAGATGCTCCCTCTTCCTAAGCACCTGATCCGTCTTCTAGATTTCCCGTGATCTGTGTTTCATGCCCTGTTTACAGATTTGTATTGTTTGTATTTTTTTTAAGTGATCACTGTTATTTATTTTCGCCTTTTTCATCGTTAAAATGTCGTCGATATATCTGAATGTCGAGTTGAAGGCTACAGCAAGTTTATTTTTTCTTCTAATGTAGAAGTTTTTGAATAAATTCTGCTTCATGGGAATATAAGAACAGAATATAATGAAGGAGCACAAAAGTTTCTAAAGACTACACAGTTGTTCTCAATGAGGAACTCCAGCATCCTTTCAATATCAGCTTCAGAGTACTTTTGTGAAAATCAGAGTAATTTTAACAGTTATTTTGTCGATGACCAATTACAAGATATAAAGAACAAGGTTCACTTAGGGCCTTTTTTGGCCCTGTGAATTTCAGAAAAACTGAAACTGCTTGGTTTTAGTTAACAATGCATTAAATAATATCATTTAGACTTTTGGTGACTGCGTGTCAATCAAAAATGACGTAATTTTCTGGCTAGTCAATGCATTATGACGTCATGAAATGCGTCATTTTCCTCATATCCCGAAAAATTCTACAAAAACAGCCAATTTCTAAAGCTATTTTTCGATATTTAATATAGAGCGCAACCTCTGATCTAAAATATGCAACTATTAAATGATAGAACTATTTCTGAGAATTACAAAACATGTTTTATTTTTTAGATCAGAGGGTGCGCTCATATTATTTCTCTTCCGTGAAGTACTTAAATATACTTGTTTTCCTTAAAATTCAAGAATATTGCAATTCCATGAAGCCTGTTTTCCAAGACCTTGGCTTTAAGAAGAAAATTTTTAATAGGAAATGAAAGCACTAAGTCTCTACTTTATCTTGATGTTTAAAATGGAATATAAAGTGTTAGTCAATAAATTGGTATATCTACAGGGCCAATTTTTGCATAAAGTGAACCTAGCTCTCTCTTTCCGAGTTTCCATTTTTCAAAGAAACAATTACCTATGACATTAAAAAGTCTAGTTTTTTATTTAGCGTGAGGTACGGTTGTATAATGTGTAAAAATTAAAGACATACGTTTTGATGTTACTGATTTTTGAAAAATTATGTGATTTCAATTTTTTTTAAAACGACATTTTTTTACTTTATTATTTTAAAAAAGAAGAATTAGCAATAAAAATTCATAGATACAAGTTTTATTGTATTGTCATTGCTAGTAAACATTGAATATATCATAACTAGCAGGCCTATTTTATTTGAAAAAAATGCGTTTTTTTAATCACACTTTCTTTAAAACACAATTATTGTCTAATACAAGATGTTATCTTTCAGGGAAAGAAAATAACTTAATACTACCAAGAGCAACATAATTGATATGTTAATGATATGAAATCCAAATCGATTTTTCCAATAGCAAGATAATGCATAACCAAATAGGTTAATTATTATTGACTCGCCAATGTCACTTATCATGAAATGATATAAAATAGAACATTTACAAATGTGAGGTAAAAATACCATTTAATGACAACTGATCCTGATTTTCTCTGGATCTTTTCTAAAAATCACGTATAATTTAAAAATATGGTTAATGTTGGCGTAAATAATAGGCGACATTCTTAACAAATTCAGTTCGGAAAAAAATCGAACTACCTGAAAAAATCGACATTCACTTTTTTTTTTAAAAAATAATTCTTCTCGAATCATTGATATCATATGGTTATACAATTATAACTAGCCCTGGATATAGTTTAAATGTCATTCCTTAACAAATTTAATGTTTACGTTTTTCTCTCCTCAGTGATCGTGATAGATGAATATTGACAAGAATAGTGCAGATAATTGTAGACTTAAATTGACTTAAATTGACTTCAGTCTGCATGAAAGGATGAACAAGGCTTCCAAATGTGAAAGATGATTTAACAGTGTTTCAATGGAATGTGCTTATTTAAACCTTCAACAAAGTCTATTCATTAGAGAAAAAAGAAATGGAACAATGCTTATTACAATCGTATTTTGTTTATTTATTACTTAAAACAGTTTTGATTGTACATATAAACAACAGGATTCCATTCAAAATCCAATCATTTCTCCCTGGCTGTTGGAATAACATCATGTTTATTATAAATAAAGCTATAGTTTGTTTAACTGGAGCCTCCACCTGTCCGCCGTAGCGACACCGTGAAATGTGGAGACAGGTCCTATCAGCTGATTTATAGTCTTTAACAAGTCCACTGTGTGTCCACCGAACCTGTCCTCACCATATCCCACCTGTGAAAACAGCTTCTCCACCGCAGGTGGCGCTATGGCATCACCCTGACTGTCTTGGATCTCTACTGAAGACCTTTTAAGGTTATGATGAGAAATCTAGAAAAAGATAGGAATTACTCATTCATTACATGACTGTAGAATGAACTGAGATTTATCCATTTTTTTAGACGAATCGATGCACAGTATAATACACTGTGTTGCCATCTGGCAATATAATGAAATATAGATATCTTTTTCTGATCTATTCCTCTACGATATTGGCAACTTTTTAATATTCCGATACAAGGCGTTAGTCCAGATTGTTTTTAGACCATAATCCTTGCCAATTTTCTCTTTTTTATGCCCCCCACACATAAACTTACGTTATATTATTTGCTTCAGCACATATAAGCCTATGCTATACTTGCTTCAGCACTTAAACCTATGCTATATTAGATTCAGCACACTTAAACATGTTAAACCTACGCTATATTTGCTTCTGCACATATAAACCTATGCTATATTTGCTTTAATTTTCTCTTAATAGCTGTGTCTCTTATAATTATTTGATTTTTGAGAAGAATACTTTCATTTAAATCTATTTTTAAAATACTTTTCATTGACTTTCTTCCTTTGCTTGGTATTAATCTGAACACACTTAAATTCTAGTAAACTAAAGGATGACTTGTATTGGTATTAATCTGAACACACTTAAATTCTAGTAAACTAAAGGATGACTTGTATTGGTATTAATCTGAACACACTTAAATTCTAGTAAACTAGAGGATGACTTGTATTGGTATTAATCTGAACACACTTAAATTCTAGTAAACTAAAGGATGACTTGTATTGGTATTAATCTGAACACACTTAAATTCCAGTAAACTAAAGGATGTAACAAGATTTGCTAAAACTGGGTTCGTTGTTCTTGAGAAGAAATCGAGAATGTGAAAAGTTAACGGACGGACGAATACTGAAACAGACAACAGACGAACTGTCACATTAACTTTATCAGCTCAGATTATCTAGACATTCTTTATAACCCTAGCGTTTTCAAAGAATTGTCATACTTTTCTTAACTTCACTTCATAACTCATTCTTTTTCCAGTGCACATTCACACGGTAACTATTATCACAGGACACAGAGAGCCTAATATTACCACGAATTAGCATATTACCAAACATCAGCTATTATGTAAATATTATGTCATAGAAGTAAATGATCTGTGTAGCAGGACTAATGTTTGATCTGATAAGCTATAACTTGTCAATGTCTATTGTACATGTATAAACATCACTCAATTAAAAGCACATGTTTGATAAATGGGTATATGTCATCATTCAGTTATATGTTATCATTGAATTTCACTGTTTAATTACATTTAATATTGGGTAATGTGGTGTGAATATATTGACGTACCAGATAAAATTTCTTGACGACCACTCCTTCCAGAATCACTCTCCACTTTACTTTCTGATAATTGGATAGCACAATTGTAACTGGGATCAAGTTCGTGGAATTTCCGAATATTTCCACGATAGTCTCGTCACTCTGACTGTTACTAAAGGTACTAATCACGTGTATCTTTTCTTCAGTGTTAATACTTAATGGTGATTGACAAGAATACATGGTGGACTTTTTCCCTTGGATAAGTGCATCAACAAATCTTCTCTTTCCCTCCTGTATATAGCAGTCACCATATTTGGCTGTAAAAAAGAACTACTAATCTCAAAGAGTGACACTTACTAAACAATTGCAAATATTTCATTTGCTGTGTTTTTCTACTTCATTAAGAGATGAATTTAATTTTTGAGAATTCATGAGGACATGAACTGTACGACATTTCACGCCTGCATATTTCATTAAGAGAGTAAGCGCTTCATGATAAATATGCAGGCATGAAGCGTTGTAGTTCATGTACCTCATGAATTCTCAAAAATTAAATTCATTCTCTTATATTTACATTATTTTTCTGGTGACTTGCCACATATTTTTGTCATTCAACGATCATTTTTGAAAAAAAAAGTTTGCGCTATTTTTTGACTTCAATCACATTACAATGGAAATATTCTTACGCATCCATGAGAACATGAACTTTTTCTAATTTGCAAAGAAATATATAAGGAAAAATATTTGGAAAGGTAAATATTCAACTATGATATTCATTCGAATGCCATTTTCGTGTATACTCAAGCGTAGAAATGTACACGGAATGAAATAAGGAGATAACGAACAGTATTCAAGCACGGAGTCCATTAAAACAATACAAATCGGGAGCAGAGCAAACACGGACCTCCAAATCATCAGAGGTGGGATCAGGTGCCATGGAGGAGTGAGCATTCCCTGATCGGGAAATAACAGAAAATTGGTAGACAATTCAGTGTGTAAATAATGGTCTGACAATTAGTATGGAAAAAGACTTAATGATAGATTGTATTTGCTGACAAGATCATTGCATTGACCACAGAACTTACGAAATGATGACTTTCAACGAGACTGTTGATATTCTTGTTATCGGAGAAACTCGCTCAAAAGTGACGTCCCAATGGGGCAACAGAGGCGTTAATAAAAATATAACGATATAAAACAGCAAGAAATTCAAATATTGAGTATATTTTTTGGTGCTTTTAAACATGTAAATATAAGGAATGTTTTCATTTGCTAATGCTAGCGCGCTTCATGAAATATGCCTACGTGACAAGTCTGTGTGATTTACACACCAATAACTCAAACAAAACTTGAAAACATTCCTTAAATGTATAGGTGTATTATTTACAATGAGGCGAGAAATGATCTTATCCTACTTAATCAATGACCTTTGCCTATATAATCAATGACCTTAACCTACATAATCAATGACCTTAACCTATATAATCAATAATCTTTACCCTATATAATCAAGAACCATTACCTTCAAAACCAATTACCATAACTTACATAATCAGTTACCTTAACCTATAAAAATCAATGACGATAATTTTTCAATGTTCAAATTAGCAATGATAAGCAAATATTAAGACATGTTGACAAGGGAACATTGTATAGAAAATAATCATTACAGACGTTCAAACAAAACAATATGAAGACATGTAGATTCTGTTCTGTATGATCACAAATTATTCTAAGACTTACGCAGACAATTTTGCTTTTGGTAGCCGTCACCACTACACTGGCAGTAACCATGGGAACAAGAAGCCTTAAATTGGAAAGCTGAATACATCCTGCACGCGTTGTTTACACAAGATTTTCTGGTGTTGTATTTCAGGGAAGCTGGAAGGAAAAACGTCTATTATAAGTCTTTCTTTCTAAACCACTGACCAAAATGGTGTACATTAAAGCAAGTTAATGACTCTACCTTACATAATAAAAATAACAAGCATTCTGAGAGTATTGCATTAGCAATACTAGTCCCCTACCGGCAAGTGTAATCTGGTTCCCGTTAAAAATTGAAAATGCCATAATTCCGTCAAAAATCAATGAAGCGGAATGAAATGCAAACTTGATCTATAACACATCAAGGTAAAGTCACATACCAAAAATCAGCTCAATATCTGCAAGTGTTTAGAAAAAAAGTGCGGAAAACCCTGAAAAATTGAGAAGGTCGTAATTCCGTCAAAAATCAATGAAGCGGAACGAAATGCAAACTTGATCTGTAACTCATCAAGATACACTCACATACCAAAAATCAGCTCAATATCTGCAAGCGTTTAGAAGAAAAGTGCGGAAAACCAAGTGGGACAGACTGACAGACAGACAGAGGGACAGACAGACAGACGGACAGACAGACAGACAGACAGACGGACGGACAGACGGACGGACAGACTCAGAGGAAACCTATAGTCCCCCCCGGTTTCACCGGTAGGGGACTAAAAACAAAGATATTTGCAATATAGGCATATTCTGTTTAATTCATGCCAGTATCAGATATATATTACAATTTTCAACGTATAAAGAAACAAATGTGGTATTCTAAAAATGATATTAAGCAAGAAAACATACCAACGAGAATGCTTACCTGTTTTACGTTTTGTGATGCTGTTCTTGAAGATAATATTACTTATTTTTCTTTCTGAATTCATCTTTATAGCTGGTGTGGTCTAGCCAAAAAAAAAAAAAGAAAAGAAAAAAAAAAGCATAATATTATTGCTTTTGGCAAAAATTCATATGCATATACTAGTATGAAATATAGAAATATCAATGATTTAATAATATTGGTAATTTTCTGCAAAGTTTTCGAACAACACCATCATCCAATTCATGCATTAACAATTTAATCGATAGAATTTCTGGTTTTACTTTCCTTAACAGTTTTTCCCTTACAATACATCTCTCCTTCCTTACAATCTCTCTCTCTCTCTCTCTCTCTCTCTCTCTCTCTCTCTCTCTCTGTTACAGAGAGTGGCATTACCTTATTTAATTCTGGACGTAGCGTCGTTATCTCTGTAGTATCCCCCTCTTTGGTCCTCCATATATGTATTGATAGAAAGAAGCACAATAAAGAAACAAAGAAGAGGGCAGTGAGGGCTGCCGTCATTAGAATACGACGTGTGGGGGAGGAGGTGCATCTGTCTGTCTGTAGGCCAGTGTGGCGGGCCAGACGAAGGCTCCTCATGTGAGTCGGAAGATGACCCTGATGTACATAAAAGACAGGGTCCCCATTGCACCCAGTAGTCTCAATATGCTGGAATAAAGATACTGGTATTAGAAAATTACTGATATTTCTTTTTAAAATTGAAAACTTTTATCTGACCAGATTAGAAAACTTTTTAATATTGAAACCTCGTTAATATTGAGATTTTTTTAATTTAGTGATATGATGACTGGACATGAATTCGTTCTGATGGTCAATTGCTTTTATCATGGCAATGTTATAAAGAGCATGAGTTTCCATTAGTCCTATTATAAAACATGCAGTCTTTTAAATGTTTGGAAGATTTTAAAGTTTTCACACGACCTGTTAATGGAATACTAAAAATCTAATTGCATCTAAATCGAAATTGCCTTTCCTTATGACTTTGAACCCTGAGTACTTCACTTAATATAAACAGTTTTATGAATTTGGGTTAACTTTGCAAGTTTTGAGGTCGATAAAATGACTTGTCAGCACATACAACCTATCATTAAGTCAAATGCTGACTGACGTTTTTCATACTAATTGTTAGGCCCTTACTTATACACTGAACTGTCTACGGATTTTTCCGGGGTTTTTTTCGATCATGACAAGGAGCACACGGCTGATATGACCGGTCGGCAGGGGATGCTCACTTCTCCATGGCACCTGATCCCACCTCTAAATTTTGAGGTCCGTGTTTGCTCTGCTCCAAATTTGTATCGTTTCATTGGACTTTCGAGATTGAATTCTGTTCGTTACCTTCATATTTCATTGCTCTTTTTCATCTTTTGGGCGGAAATTGTATTAAAGAAAAACTAAATTTCTTTGATGCTGTATCATTCATATATTTAATGATCAAATTTCAAAGTCTATTCCAGTGTTGCTTCTTTCGTTGATACAGTAAACTAACGATAAAACAGCATTAAGGTTTACAGGGCAATGAACTGTAAGAGATTATCTAACTTACTTTAATAGGTTAATAAATAATTACTGCTCAGAAAGTATTTATTTTTGTAGATTCATAAATAATTACTAATCAAATAATATTTTACCTTACCTTTAAAGGTTCATAAATACTTGATGAGCCCAGTGTAAATCTGGATAAATTGTAATTTCGGAAACAACCATTTTTCCTGAAATCCTTGATCCTCATTTTATTACTACTGAATTATTGATGATTTACAAGCATTTATTCACCTCAGCAACTGGCAGAGATTTGAACGAACAAAAAGCATGGAGGTTCATTTTAGGTTTTTAGACAACAAAGCTATCCGGGAATGGGGGACACACTAAGGCTGTCACCTACACCATCTGGTTAGCTGCATGCTCCCAAAGATCTCCGCTTACCACATGCTATCCTAACGCACCAATAATAACGTACAACAATTCCTCGCATTTTATTTTATTTCACCTGTTGATTTTCTTCAGCATTGAACAGCCGATGAGCGAGGACCGGCGTAAGGTATTGTTCAGGAAGAATTCACCAGGTAAACAGAATTGAGGTAATTGTATTATCCACTGGAGCGTGTCGGAGATAAATTGACGTTCCGGGCAAAGGTCACGTTCGTTTTTGAGGGATTTTCCCTATTGTTGTTGATATCCAACCCATTATAAATACGTAAAAGGAAAATAAATGATTTCCTTGATATATCAATTTACCTGTTTCACTTATTATAGTAGTGTTTGGATTTAGGAATAGCAAGTGATTTAAAAATAAATTCAAAATTGCACAGGTACCCTTTCAATTCCTTATTTTCCTTATCCCATATGGCACATCAGGTAATATGACACAGGTACAAAATGAACAGTAATACATGATAAATAAAGTATACTTGCTGCATTATATATATATATATATATATATATATATATATATATATATATATATATATATATATATATATATATATATATATATATATATCTCAACACCGAAATAAACTCTACCGGTTTAATTCATTTTCAATCTTCAGGGGTTTGACAATATATTGCTTAGTTACACATAAATACAAAATCAACATTCTTACTGTGACGTCGAAAAAGCGCTGATATATAGAAAGCATAAAGAAATTCGCTTTTATAAGGATACCCATTTCCACCCCCAACCCGGGGTACGTGTTGAATTCTTGACCTTCGGAATCTGTCTCCAAGCAGTAGAGAAACGGCGTGCTAGACCGCTCGGTCATCTTGGCAAGTCAAAAAAACTTGCTTTCGATGCCGATGGAATTCTCGCGGCGCTGTCCAACACTACACGGTCATTGAGAATGGAAGTGAGATACAGTTATTTGGACATTAGTTTTATTCCGTAGGTCGAGAGTTCAACCCCGGGTTGGGGTGGAAGTGGGTATCCTTGTAAAAGTGAATTTCTTTGTGATATATATATATATATATATATATATATATATATATATATATATATATATATATATATATATATATATATATATGTAATTCAATAAATATGATAAGTTTGCTTGCTATCACGTGCAAAATTATATTTTACGATATTGACTTGAGTTACATGTACTAAAAAAAAACTTCGGGATAATCCAATGATGTGTTTATATAGTGGTGAAAAGTCTTTAAAACTTACGAATTCCTACTTTTTTGTATCTTTTTTTCCAAAGAAAATAATATAACAAATGCAGCCTTTTGATTCAGTCAGTCCATTGGTATATCGATTTCAAAGAAATGCATACCGACTTCGCACTTCATGCTCAGTCGATATGCTTTTCTGTGAAATCGATATCTCTATGGATCGACCTCATAAAAGGACCTCATATATATATAAAACTCATCGCTAAATATGAAAATTTTCGAATTTCATTTAAAGAATGAATTTAATGGCTACCCATTTTATACGGTATAAAGTGGGTTGGGGCAGTTTACGCTTTATAAACCCCGAAACGGTTTATAAAAAAAACGTAAACTGTTCCAACCCACTTTATACCGTATAAATTGATTAGCTATTAATTTCATTCCTTATAATCTAATTTCCATTCATTTAGTTTAAGAAAAAAAAAGATAATTGCTCTTAAAGAATGACTTCAAATTGTACAACTGATACGTTTCTGACGCAAGTTATTGTGACGTAGGCAACCCGATTTATACGATATAAAGTAATTTTTTTTATCCAATCAAATGGTGCGTTACAATCACAATTAAATTATTTCTGTTCAAAAAAAGTTGTTTATGGTGTAAAAATCCTGATCTTAAATTTATAATGAGGTATGGTTGTATATAGTGTTGAAAAGTCGCTCGTTTTTTGTTAGGAGAGCTAGTTTTTGAGAATTTACAGTTGATTCACACCACTTCCTGAATATTTTATATAATTATAGCATCATCTTAAGTTTCTCCTTCACAGCAGTTAATATTTCTGTGAGGAATATAGAAAGGAAAGAATATTTAATTATATTTTACTGGAACCCATTATAGGCATAGTTACTCAAGTTCACTTCAGATCCGTTGTCTAGAATCATTTAAACAAAGACTATTTTGACACATGCTTTGTCAGCTGGAATCATTACATAATGGACATATAGTTTAACTTCCAGATTCTGAAAACGGAAAGATAGTTTGGTACGTATTTTCCCTTTTATCGTTGTGCTATACGATTTTTTACTATCTCTGTGTATCTATTCCGAGAAATTGTGGGGAGGGGGACTTCTCCTTCATATTTTCACCATCTTCTGGCATTATGACGGAATTCATGATAGGAATTAAATTTTGCCGCCATTTGAAAGTTTGGGGTTCCCTGAATTTAGGATATTTCAAATGCTTAATCGCTTTTAGATCAGCATTCTCAGCTTCTTTTTTTTTTTTTTACATCATCAGTAATGTTGTGTCCATCAGGACTTAAGTCGAAAGAAAACTAAATTATTAAAGAATCATTGGAAGCTCCATCCTCCCAACGTCAGGGGTCCTGATTCAACCCCGAGGTCAAACGGCAACGTGTTGACTCAGGGCCCCTGACGTTGTGAAAATGTGGAAGCTCATACTTGATACAAAGACTGTTCATAACAAGAGAGCGTGACATGACCTTGAATCAAGCTCATTCCGGAAAGTTCCAGGCTACTGACAAATGATTGATTGATTGTGTGTTTCACGTTCCATTCCAGAATCTTTCACTCATATAGAAGCGTTACCATATACCTGTGAAGGGCTTCAAATCCAGACCTCTATTCGGTACGTAGGGCCATTGAGCAGTGAGGGTTCTTTATCGTGCCAACGCCTACAGTGACACGGGGCCTTGGTTTTTTAAGGTCTAGCTCATCCGAAGGACTCACAACTTTCACTTTAAAGTGCCGAGAGCTTGACGAAGGAACAGTGTTACCTATTTTTTTTATCGACTTAGGTCAGTCGCGGCCGTAATTCTAACACACGACCTTCCGATCACGGAGTGAGCGCTCTACCGACTGAGCTACCGTGACGGCTACCACTGAGAGAAAGAGTTAAGCATAAATTCTTGTCTGGGTTATGACTTAGCAATGGAGAATCATTGGAAGATCATACTTGGTACAAAAATTGTTTTTGACTTGAGGGTGTGTGACATTGACCTAAAGTCTTTCTGCCAATTCAAGGTCTGGCAGAACAAGTATAAAAATTTTTGTCCAGGCTATAACTTTGTAATGGAGATCATACTTGGTAGAGAGATTGTTTACTTTGTAATGGAGTTCATACATGGTAGAGAGTTTGTTTACGACCACAGGTATGTCATGACCTTGTTCCAAGGTCATTCCTGCGAGTTCAAGGTCACTGGCAGTAAAAAGGTATAAAATTCTTGCCCAGGCTATCACTTTGAACTGGAGAATCATTGGAAGCTTGTACTTGGTACAAAGGTTGTTTATGACCCGAGGCTGTATCATGACTTTTCATCTCTTTCCGAATCCTTCTTCTATGAACCTTTAGAGAGCGACAGGTCCACTTATCCCCAAGCCAACGAAAGCCATAACATCGGCAGAGGAAACTCGAACCATGATTCTATTTATACTGAGCTACTCAGTGAGTACGACATCTTCAGTGAATTAAGAGACACTCGCAAGCAACTACCGTTAAACTTAATGTGTGGCTATTTAAATATAAACAGTTTAAGATCAAAATTTGAAAGTATACAAGACCTCCTGAATAGAAATCTCGTTGACATTCTTTTTATCTCAGAGACTAAAATAGATGATTCTTTTCCAGATTCCATGTTTAGTATTAATAACTTCACTTTATGGCGAGCTGACAGAAATGTATATGGGGGTGGAATTATAGCTTATTTACGATCAGATATTGCTGGTGATAGGAAAAAGCAACTTGAGTTTGAGATAATAGAATCAATAGGCTTGGAAATAATAGTTGATAGTCAAAAATGGTTTTTATCTGGTGTATATAAACCACCAAATGTTCAAAATGCTACTTTCTATGACGATTTTTGTAAAACAGTGGATAAAGTTATCACAAAATACGATAATATCATGTTTATTGGAGATATGAATTTTGATATGCTAGATAAGGATAAAAGTGCCCCTTTACTAGACATCTGTGATATTTTTGATTTTACCAATCTAGTTAAAGGTCCAACTTGTTTCACCAGAATAGCTAAACCAAGTCTGCTTGATATTTGCTTGACCAAGGATGATACTAAATTCAACAAGATATGCAACTTCAGTTGTGGGCTCAGTGATGTACATAATTTTATAGGTGTTCAGTTTAAATGTAACATCAAACAGCTGGAGTGCAAATGGAAGAGTTGTCGTACTTTTAAAAATTTTGATGAGGAATCTTTTATATCAGATCTGCCGCAGGTGGACTTCTACTATGAGGACCACAATGATATCAACTTAGCTTTTTCTGATTTTACCAACAAGTTTGTAACCATTATAGACAAACATGCGCCAATGAAAATGAGAAAAATAAAACCCAACCAGGTTCCATACATGAATAAAGAATTACGCAAAGCTATCTTTAAGAAAAAAATGCTACACAACAAATACCAAGCTCGTAGGTCTAGTAAGAACTGGGAAGCTTATAGAGTTCAAAGAAACTATGTTACAAAATTAAAAAATAAATCAGTAAATAATTACTTTCTTGAAAGATGTACAGGAGGTCCGAAATCAAAAGACTTCTGGCCTACTATTAAGCCTTTCTTAACAAATAAAGGCAGCTGTGCGCAGAAAGATACAGTATTGTTAGAAAATGATGTTTTAGAAACTGACCAATCCAAATAACAGAAATTTTTAATGATTTCTTTGTTAATGTGGCCAAAAACATAGGAAATTCAAATATAAGCATTGATGATAATCACCCAAGTGTTAAGGCAATTAGGGACAACTTACCCCAACTTTGTGATCAATCTTTTCAATTTAAATCTATAGATGAGGAATTTATATGTAAACAAATTAGTAAGATCAATGTCAGAAAAGCTACAGGCATAGACGGGATTTCTCCAAAGAT